AGCCCCCTTGATGCCACGGGTTCAGCTTTTCTATTTTCCAGGTTCTGTGCTGCTCTAGTGTGTGGGTCTGGCTTCACATCAGGGGATGGTGAGCTCTGTGCACAGAGCAGGGAGACAAAACAATTCCTGCTCCAGCTGGGCACCAAGGACAAATGATCCAAATCTCAGCCCAGAGCACAAACCCCGTGGGCTGGAGAGAGAAAAACAAGCAGGATGGGAGTGCAGGGGCTGAGCTGGAATTGGACACTGAACTGCAATGTGCACATGGAGCAGAGCTGATCCCAGGGAGAGACCCCGTGAGCGCTCGTGCACTTTGGGACCATTTGGTTCATTCTGGGTTCATTTTGTGCCATTTTGGTTCATCTTGGGTGCAGCCCTGGCTGGGCTCTTGTGCTGCCCAAGGTGCATCCATGGAGGAGATCCTTTGAATAAACCCCTGCTTTACTCTTTAGCTCTGCCCAGTCTCTGCTCCAGGTCAGCCTTGATAAAGCATCGCCCTGACTAGGAGAGGCTGGATAACAAAGGTAACCCAGTGGTGACAAGTGAAGGAAATGCAGTTTCTGCCAAGCGTGGTGGTAAGGGAAGGTGACACAGTGTGTTTGGGTATCTGAAAGGACTAATGCATTCAGGCTGCCTTGCCCTGCTTTGCAGTGCTGGCATTCTTTCCCTGCAGTGACAGACTGGTCATCCCAGCAGAATAAACTATGAGGAATGCAGAGGAAGGAGCAGTTTGAGTAAATTGCGCAGGAAAAACTAAATAAATGATTTATGCTTTACAGATCTGTGCTTAGCATTGGAAGTAAAAATGTCATACTAAATCTTAGGAGCAGACACCTTCCCAAATTCTGCATCATTGGTGTCATTGTGCTGTGATACAGGGCTGTGCAGAGAAATTTTGGTCTGTGCACCTCTGCCTGTGAATGTGCTAAAACAGAATGGGCATAACAGGATAGTAGTTGAAAAGTAAAATTCTGCAGTTACTTGCTTTCCTTAGGAGGACTTGCTGGGCTTTGAGGAAACTCAGTTTGGACGTGTCTGTTGTGCAGTCAGTCTTTATTCACGTTATGCCTGTTTAATTGTGAATTGTAGAGCAGCAATGAAGTGATTCCTGCTTTGTTCAGCAAACTGCAGTTAGCTCTTATGCTTAAAGCAAGCTCATTCTTAATAAAAGATTTTGCTATTTTTTAGACATCTTGAGTCAGTTTCTGTAAATTAGTTTTATTTATGTTGTTTCCTTTTAGCTTCTAGCATTTTCATAAATGTTTTTCTTAAGAGACCTTCCTGTCAAACCGAGAGCTCTCCTTTAAATATTTTTCCTACTTTTTCCTTCCAAGCACTTGTTAATCCACAAATTTTAGGTTGATGCATTGAATTGTCAGATAAATAGAGGAATTATACCCAGCAGTGTTGATCCTTTTCCACTTGGCCAGCAGGGTGGCAGATAAATCAGTCCCTCCAGTAACAGAAACGCTGCACACTGGGTTAGGATGCACGTGTTGCATTGTACACTATTACATTGTTTGGCACAATATTGCGTTATCCCATTATTTACTGGATTATTTACTGGATCCCATTGTTTACTGCAGTGTGGTGTGCCTGTGTGTGGTGTAGGAGCCCATCCTTCCTTCAGCTGTCTGTGCACACGCTGGTTTCAGACCCTTGCCTGTGGCTGCTGGTCGTGTCCTTGGGCAGATTTTGGGTGATTTACCTGAGAGCAGAGGCAGCTCTGCCCGAGTGCAGGGCTGGGAGGAGCAGGGGGTTTTTGGGGGAGCACGGGGGTCCATCCTCCCTGGTCACTCATCACAGGGGTGCAGAAGGGCTGGGCAGGGGGGCTCAGGGAGCTTTGGGGCTGGTGGTTTCATCTCTGACGAGCTCAGGTGTAGAGAGCTTTGTAACAAGCTGGCTCCTGGATAAGGGCCACAGCCAGATTAATCTGCCCGAGATACAAACAGGGGAAATGTAGAGGATTTTGTAGATAGTTAGCTAGCTAACAAAGATCATGCTGAAAGCAAGAAGGAGACGAGGATAAAAGCAGCAAGGTCACTGTGCCCTTGCCGAAACTTGAGGTTGTAGGAGAGGTTCGTTAGCTAGCAAGAATGAAGGAACGATAGCAGAAACCATAACAAGGTGAACACAAGAATGTAAACGTAGACGTAGTTGACTGATAAATGACTAACCAATGATGAGCTCAACTTTTGCAATATGCATTAGCCTTATTAACACTGCTATAAATGTGTGTGCCTATCCAATAAACTTTTGAGACTTGTTGTTCATCATCTGGTGTGCAAGTCTTCCTTCTCCATCACTCAGGGACTGAGAGCATGGCTGTTTGCAGGGAGCTGAGCTGCAGCTCATTTGGAGCTGCTGACAAGAGTGATGTTTACAGAGGCTGATGGTGAATTGACTTCTGATTTAAGCAGGCATTGGTGGCTGCAGAGATAAAATAAGCATTGACACATCATCCTGCCTGTAATCAGGAAAATGGCCTTTGGTGATCATCTTGCTGCACAAAGGACACACATGAAAACCTTCTGCAGCAAACTTTGTTTTCATGCATCTTGTTAAAAATTTAGTTTTTTCACATATTGAATCTCTGACTTTCCATTTTTTTATCTACAATGTCAGGTTCATACTCTTCAGTCAGAATGTCATATATATATATATATTTGATGTTGCTGTATCTACAATACAAATATTAAAATATTTGAAGATCTTTGCAGGTCACTGAGTTAATAATTTTAATTTAGGGAATAATTTTGAATATTTCCCATTTATTGAGTTGACAAACAAAAATACTGTCAGAAGTCACTGAACATTGATTGAACTATCATATTGTAACTATCATATTCCAGAGTTTATGCTAAGGAGTTGGATACATTTGGTTATAAAAGGGAAGAAAATCACAATTGAATTAAAGAAAATTACAAAAAATGAATGTGTAAACACTAGAAAGCAAACAGGTGTGGCATGAATCATCCAGTGAAATACACCCCAAAGCCCTTCCTTTTTGACTTTCCTTCTACAAATCAGCTCTGCAGACCTTGCTAAGCCTTGCTTTTCTGTAGTCATTGCTGTGAAAACATGAAGAGGTGGAAATTAAAAACAAAATCTTTGTGTGAAATGCTTGTCTAAGTCCCTGCCCACTGATGGTCAGCAGAAAGGCCCTTCTGTCTGGGGAGGCTGACTCAGAGGTGCTGTGCTGCTCTCCAGGTTCTTCCATCACCTCGTGGGGCAGTGCTGCAGGGTGTTCCTTCAGTTCCTTCAGCAGTGTGAAACTCTGCTGATTTACCAACAGGGGTGGGTGTGCTGGAGCATGGAGCAAGGGTTGGGAAATGGGTTTGTAGAGATTTTGAAGGACTGTGCTGTGTGAACTTGTCTGAGCATTCAGTGTCTGTCCACAGACAACTTCAAAAACAGTGAGACCTGACAAATCAAAATGAAACAAATGATAGATCATGGTTAGCTTGTTTGAAGGATGGAGTTTTGCACCTTGGCTAAAGGAGCTCTGCAAAATAGGTTTTTATGCATTTATAGTTATTGTGGCATTGTTAGTGATAGTGCCTTGTGTACTTCACTGTGCACGGCAAATGATGAACAAAGCCATCAAAGAACTTTTTCAACTCCTCTCAGTTGCCCCATCTCTGGGTCAGAAAAAGGTATTATCCAACACAAGGGGAAGAAGGCAAGGAAGAAAACAGCTGACTGGGGTTGGTGTTTTCCTTTGCTTGAAGGATGTTTGCTCATCCTGAGAAGAGTTGGGGAGAGGAGACTCCAGAGAGTGTAAAGACTGAAAACTTAATTTGATCAATCAGCTGAAGGCAGGGAAAGGATCACTGAGCATGTGCTGGGACAAGTCTGGTTAGTTGGACACGTGTTGTGGAAATTAACTTTCCTTTTTGAGAGCTGGGCCTCGGAGATCTATTGATCCTTTCAGGTGGGGGTGTGTGGAATGTAAGGCAGAAAATCTGTCTCTTTTTCCCTGTGAAGTTGGAAAGCCCTGCTAAAAGGGTATTGATTAACTTCCGTGCTGTAATACCTGCACAGTCCCTCTCATTGGCACAATTCCAGTCTTCTCCAGGCACTTGGCTGATTCACATCCCATGGGGGTGTGAGAGTGAGTGGAAGCCCTGAGGCCAAGCAGATTTTGTGTGTGCCTTTTCACTGGAGCTTTCTCCTGGCCTGTGGCTCAGTGCTCACTGTGTAATTCTGCTCAAGGCTGGCAGGGCCACCCTGAGTTCTTTCTGTGGGTTTCTAACCAGCTTATCTGTTCAGTGCTTATCAACAGCTGTGCAAATTGCAATGATAAGGCAGCATCCAGTCTTAATTCCAGCCGCCAGTTAGGGAAAACAGGCAGTGTGGAAATGCTGCATATTGTAAAGTTTGGTGTGTTTGGTGGTGCTGTGAAACGGGGAGGCACTGCTGATAGAACTGATAAAACTGCTAGCAGGAGAAGGTTATCAGTAATAACCCACCCTTGGTGCCTAGACTGAAAGAAAGTAATAAAGACTAAAAGAGTAAAAGAAGTAAGACTAAACAGTAAGACTAAAAGAAATCCAGCCCTTTAGTTCTACAGCATGGATCAAAATCTTCCAAAGGATAATTAAATATGGAATGGGGTAGGATAATAGCTTAAGTGTGGTCAGCAGAAGTCTTTAAGAAGAGATGAAGCAAATACTTGCTATGATTGGTGAAGATGTGTTTGTATCTACCTTGCAGAGATGTTAGACCACCTCTGGCAGTCTCTCTTTTGGCTGTGCTGGCTGCTGTTTGGGTTTGCTTTATTTGCAGTTTCACAGAGGTTAGAAGAAACATTTAAGAAAATACAGCACGCTTTTCAACCTACTTTAATGTTTTCAACCTACTTTAATACCTCATCTCTTCATTCTTTACCCATTCAGCTCCTAACAAAGCAGAGACAAAACAAAGTGCACCTTTGTAACCTCCTTCATGAAGGGAGTGTAAAAACCTGAATGTCAATTTTTTTTTTTTTTCCTTTGCAGGTTACAGGATGACAGAATTAGGATAGAGAGAATGGAAAACCTCAATTTTGAGTACAGCCATGCTTTCCAGAGGGTCACTGACTTCTATGCAAAAGAGGTGCCTGGTACTGCAGGTATGTTTGTTCAGATTTTTATGCAAAAGAAGTGCTTGACATGACAGGTTTTTCATTCCAAATATCTCTGAAGCATGCACCCTGTTAGCCTTTACAGTCACACAGGCTTTTGGCCACCTTTGCTTCCTTTTCTGCACAGTGGGATCTCATGTTGAGCTTGGAGGAAAAGGAACATTATTTAAATAGAAATGAAACAAGGCTACCATTACTTTTTTTTCATAGCTTGAAGGTGTGTGTTTAGACAGATTTAAATTTAAACGTGCATAACAGCTGAGGGGGATTACTCAATACCTGGAATGTTCCTCAAGAGTTCACAGAATCCTGGGATACCTGGGGCTGGAAGGGATGTCTGGAGATGATCTGGTCCAATCCCCCAAAAATGTGGTGACTTGCTAGGGATAGAATGCGTTGTTGATGCAATCTGATGGACAGCAGATCTGAATTTTAGTCCACAGGATGACAGAATATTTGGGGTTGGAAAAACCTCTGGAGCTCCCCCAGCCCAGCCCAGGCCAGGCAGGGTGCCCTGGGCAGTGGCACAGGACGTGTCCAGCTGGGGCTGGCACGGCTCCACACAGGGACACTCCAGGCCCTCCCTGGGCAGCTGCTCCAGGCCTCTGCCCCTCCATGGACACGAGTTCTCCCTCCTGCTGGCCTGCACCTCGCTGCCCTCCATGTGATGGCCACTGCTGCTCCTGCTATCCCTGGGCACCATTGCACAGAGTCTGGCACCATCCTTTGACACCCCTTTCAGGTATTTATATGGATGGATGAGATCCCCTCTCAGCCTTCTCTTCTTTAGACTAAACATGCTCAGCTCCCAGTCTCTCTTCAGAGATGCTCCAGCCTCTGAATCATCTTTATGGCCTCCGCTGGACCCTCTACAGCAACTCCTTGTCTTTCTTTAACCTGGAGCCCAGAACTGAACACAGCCTTCCAGATGTTGGCTCAGCTGGGCAGGGCAGAGGGGCAGGATCCCCTCCTTGACCTGTTGGCCATACTCTTCCTGATGCATTCCAGGATCCCACTGGCCCTCCTGGTCTGTGGCATTCACATTCTCTGAAGAAATTCCTTCGCCCAGGGTTTTTCTCCTGGGAAGCTGAAAGGCAGCAAGAGAGGCCTCAGAGAAAGGGAAAACAATTCTTACCTCCTTTGCTTCTCCTGTGTTGTGCTCATGTGGAATATGTTTGGAGATTGTTTCATTGGATTCTGCTGTGAGTTGTTTGACTCTTTGGTCAGTCAGTGCCCAGCTGTGTCAAGACTCTGGAAAGAATCACAAGTTTTCATTATTATCTTTTTAGCATTCAATAAGTATCTTTTCTGTATTCTTTACTATAATGTAGCACAGTATTCTTTATATAATATAATATAGTATAATAAAGTAATAACTTAGCCTTCTGAGAACATGGAGTCAGATTCACCATTCCCTCCTTGGCTGGGCACCCTTGTTTCCAATACTGGTCCCCAGGACACTGCCAGCTCATGGCCAGCTTGCCATCCACCAGCACCCCGAGGTCCTTCTCCACAGAGCCAGTCTCTTGTGATTGTGATTGTCACTCACAATCTGTTCTGGCACTTGGGGTTGTTCCTCCCCTGGTGCAGGACCTGTAGTTGTCCTTGTTGAACCTCCTTAGGTTTCTCTCTGCCCAGCTCTCTCAGACACACTGTGCCCTTGCTGAGCAGTGTCCCCAGCCCCTGCTGGCCACTCCTGGTGGCCTTTCTTTCTGCATGATTGGTGATCATCAATCAAAAACCCTGCAGAGCCACCTGTCCCATCACCTTCCCAGGGATGGAGGTGACCCTGGGAGTGTCCTGGGCCCTCCTTCTTGCCCTCTTTGAAGATAGGAGTAACATTCTTGTTAACTAAGTTCTAAAGTTCTTGCAGGTGTTACCTGAGAACAGCTTTAAAAACATCCCTGAAAAAAACTGAACTCTGTGGGTTTTTGAAAATACCAGTTCATGCTGTGGTATCGTGGGGTGAGTTTTCCTGTTGTTGCAGCTGGAACAGGAGCTGTAGTAGAGCACTGTGCACAAAAATGAAGATAATATACAAACTCCATTCTTAGTTTGTATATTTAGAAGTTTGTTATGCCAACAGTTAGTAATTTTTTATGAGGAAAAACCCATGAGTCAAATGTTTTCTGTTTCATTATGTGTTTACACTGCTGCAATGTGCCTGCATTATTTGGAACCATAAGTGTTATTTTGGAGCCTTGCTTTATGTTGATTTATAGATGTCATAAAACACTGTACATACATTAGAGACTTCTATTAGAATAAATTGAAAAGCACATTATCCTTTTTCTATGCAGTGGATTAACCAGAAAATAAACATTTAACAAGAAAAATTATTTTTTTTAGGTCCTCAAAACCTATCTATAATACTAAGCTTGGATAAGCCTGTTATTTGCTCTCTGGCAGCAGTAATTACATATCTCAAAGAATTTAATTTGGAAAAGATGCTTTACAATCCAAGGTAAGTTGCCTTATATAAATTTCCAATTCAAAGCACCACTTCTTGCAAGTTTTAGCAGACAGTGTCCCTGATTTTAATGAAAAACTTGCTAGTGATAAACATAGTCTTTGTAAAAATTACACCCTACATTTGATTTCCTAATCAGAAGTGAAAGAATCGAGTGGCTCCTTTGAGTGGTGTTTCAGGAAAACCTTTGTGAAGTTTGTTTGTGTAGATATTACTGCCAGTGATGTGAATGAGCATGTACTGCTGCCAGGTGTTACTGAAATCAAACAAGGTGCAAAAACTGGTAGATACTAGGGAAAAAAATAATTAAAGTTTGTTGGTATCTGTTGCATCTCAGCCTCAGCTTTACTGTGAAAAGCCAAAATGTGGGCTTTTCTAGGCAGCTTTAAAAAAAAAATAACTGCTGCTGCAACTTAGCTTTGCAGATGTCGTTGCAGTTTGCCAGCAGTGTGTAAATAATGCTTTCTTTCTGTGGCTCTGGAGGCAGGTATAAACTCTGTGTTGTAATGATCAGGCAGTGCTCAGCAGGTCTGTTTCAGCTGTTGAATCTAGTTACCAGTTTTAAGGAAAACTGTGTAACACATCCTGGCTTTCTGAGGAATCCCTTGCTGGGACTCAGGGGTGAGCAGGAGTGGGGAGGAGGATCAGGTGAAAGCTGTTGCTGGAAAGTTTCTGCAAAACCACACAGGCATGGATATAACCTTGTCACCTCCTAAGCAGTCCCAACACTGGGGCTTCTTAGATATGCTGATGTGACTACTCAAGATTTGTGGCTGGCTTATGCAGGTGGAATCAAATGAAAATGGAAAGATGTCACTGCTAAAGCTTCTCTTATCCTGTCTTGCATGAGTATAAAACATTGCTGTCCTACCTGGCTTAGCTTTGAAAATATCATTGAGGCTTATTAAATAAAACAGCTTTATCTGTCGTGGATCCTCTGCAAAATATTCTCCCAGTTGTCTCAGTGTTGCTGTGTCCCACAAGTATGCAGGGTTTAATAAAGTCAGTCAGGCTGCAAAGTTAGAAATAAGTCATGTCATTTGTAGATCACTCATGTGTTGTGTGGGATTCTGAGAGTTTGAAGCCCAGTTTTGAAGGGCTCCCTGCATTACCAAGTTTAGATTACCAGCTGCATTTAAAACATCAACTGCAGGTGCCAGCTTTAAACACTGCTTAAACACTTTCCCAGTGTCCGCCAAAATATGTGGAAAATATGTGCTCTGAATTTTGGGATGGATTTCTTTCCTTAAGTTGCCCTTCTCTGCAAGTTGTATTTGAATGTTATCAAAAGGTTTGGTGTGCTTATAGAGCTGATGAGGAAAGAGTTCCTGTGGCATCTTCCCTGCTGATCCATCAAGGGGTGTGTTGATCTGTGGTGCTCCTGCACTGTGGTGTGCCTGCTTATCTTGAGTGCCTTTTTGAAAAAAAAAAAAAAAAAATTGTTTTTTTAATATGCTGGCATAGGTGGAGAAATCTTGTAGAACTTCTGAGGAAGAAAATGAATTCCAGGGAAATGCCATTTTGTGGTCAGCTCGTGGGTCACTGCTGTCACAGTGCCCTGTGTGCAATCACACAGGAGGTGAATGTTCTTTCAGCTGGAGAAAATGTGAAATCCATCTTTTATGTAGAAGTAATTCTGTAGCAGAGGACAAATATAATTATGTGGAGGCTTACGTAGCAGCAGTCAGTCACATTTGTAACAGCTGCATCCTAAAATCAAGTACATTATAGGCTGGGAAGGAAAAGCACTAAATCTTAGCATTGGCATTTGCCTGCTGAAGGTTGCTCTAATGGATTTCTGGGGACTGTATGAGCATCTGAGGGAAAAGGCAAAGAAATACTTAATACCTTGGAGAAGTTCTGTGAAGAAATAACATTTCTTGAGGAAACTTTGTGGTCAGGAGCCTGGATTCTGCTTTGTTTGTTTCTGAAGCCTTTGTGCTCCAACTACCCACTGCTGAGTTCCACTTGCTGCTTGTAGTGTGTCATGGGGATCAACAAACTGAGCCAAATATCCAGAAAAACTCAACTTTAAGATTTTTCCCAATGCCAGTGAAATGCTATCTAAATACAGAACAGTGGAAGACTTTTAAGCAAATGATATCAGGCTCATTAATGCCCCAAATTAGGAAATTGAAGAGAAATAACTTCTATTGCTTTGTCAAAGAACTTGAAATTCCTAGAAGAATTCAGGTCAGTGAGCATACACAGATGAGTCAGAGAGCATGAAGTGGGAGTTGTGAGGTAGTTTTCAGTTTGTTAATGTGTCACAGGTCTGGATGAAGAAGATCTGTTTGATAGGAAGAATGACAGGAAAATCCATTTCACCTCTGTACCTTCTTTGGACAAACTTCAGCTTCTCCCAGCTGAAAAAAAGTACATTTCAGTTTGTAGGAAGAGTCATGAGTTACCATGTAAGTCAAGGAATCGTCATTGGGGGGGAGCAGGTTTTGCTATTGTATTTCGATAAAACTTTTAAATCTAGTTTTAAGATCCTAAAAAAAAGCAAACCATTACAAAGAAATAAAGATTTTTGCTGCAGCAGGAGCCCAAGCTGTGGCTAGGCTGCTTTAGCGAGTAAAAATAGATTTAATAATGAATGGTACAAGTTTTTGTTAATCACTGTGTTCCAATACCTTTGCATATGGAGAGACCTTTATAAAAGGCTTCTGTCAGGAAGTTAGTACACAGCTAGGACAGGATTTCAATACATTTGAGTACCCAGTTTTGTTTGAAAAAATCATCATTGGCATAGCAGTTGCTGAGGAAATGTGATGTGGTGTATTTCAATTTTACCTCTAAGTTTTCCTGCATGTTGGATATGGAGGAGAAAGACTTTCTAGACAGTAGTTTGTAAGTTTTGAACAGTGATGGATGAACTTCAAGAAAATCATACACAAAACAAAAGGGTTTCAGATCAAAAGTTCTAGCTCTGTGGAAATACTCACTAATGAGTTTAAACCTGGTTAATTAAACACAAAACATAGTCTTGGGCTTGACATCCTTTGCTGCTGTAGAGGTAAATGTCTTTGGTGTGGAGCCTAAAGAGAACTAGTCCTTTTGAAAAATGGAGAGACTTGTTTTTACTTCTTAAAGCTTTTAGAGATTCCTGCATTTCTTGTCTGTGTAAATTCATTTAGTGGTTTATTCACCACTAGAGATCTCAAAGACAGACCCTGGAGCTTTGTTAAAGGTAATTGAGCAAAGAAAATCTGTTGCTTTCAGGGTGCCTTGCAGCTTCACTAAGAAACATTAGAGATTTGGAAAATTAAAGTAGTTGAAAGTTCCTGATCTAAACAACATGCATTCACTTAGGCTGAGATACCGAGTATGAAATTACATGTATTATCTCCTGTGGAGAAAATTGTGAACACGGCACGTTAAAACCACCATCCACTGCAAGCTTCTCGAGAGGCAAAATCACAGAGTCCCAGACTGGCTGGGATCAGAAGTGACTTCCAAGTTTCTCCAGTGCCACCCTGCCATGGCAGGGACACCTCTCCCTGTCCCCCAGTGCCCAGCCTGGCCTGGGCACTGCCAGGGATCCAGGGGCAGCCCCAGCTGTGCCAGCCCTGCCCACCCTGCCAGGGAGCAATTCCTTCATGAAACTAATTCTCTCCTACCTTAGTTTAAAGCCGTCCCCCCTTGTCCTAACTGCCTGTGTAGAAAGTTGCTCTACTCTTTTTATAAACCCCTTAAGTACTGAAAAAATGACACAGATGATTCAGTTTCTCTGGTTACACATAATAACTGAAGCCTGGGGATATGCTTTGCTGTCCTGAATCAGAACAATAACCTTTTCATACTCATCATCCTGTGGTCCTGCTCTGAAAAAGTAATTTTGTGGGCAGGAGCCTCATTCTCACGAGTATTCCCTGTAAGATTCCTAAATCTCCCTGGAAGCTTCTGTTTGTTTACTCTTTTCCTTCCTCTGAGCCCAGAGATGACTTGACCCTGCCCTGCCACGCTCCTGTTGTGGGCTTGCCAGCTGTTTCCATTGCTGGGCTTTTGTGCTGCTGGAGTGCTCAGGGTGTTGCAGGGCTGTGCTTTGAAGCTGGGGTCACAGTGTCACCTGCAGGAGGAGTTTTGGCCTCCTGATCCTGTCCGGGTGATTTCTGGGAGGTCAGCAGTGCAAGGAGGGCTGGCAGCAGCGCATCAGCATTTCACACCAGGCTTGTGCTGGGACCTTGGCTGCAAAACCAGCCCTGACTTAATAGTTACCTACAACCTTCTTCTGCCACTTGGTCTCCAAATACCTTACAAAGAATGTTGGGTTTTTTTTTTTTTTTCCCTTCACATTTTTATCAAGTTCTGATCCCAAGCTGAAGGAAGATGAGTGGGTGGAAGCAAAACATGTTCTGTGCTGTGACATGTGGAATTGTTGGTTGGGCAAATCCTGCAGTTGATCTTGGCTGTTACTCACGTACTCTAAACTCTCAATTACCACGATTAATAGCAGGGTGAAGTAACTCAGATAAAGAAAGCACCTGGGTAGTGTAAGGCACACATAATTTACGCCGTGAAAACAACTTCAGCTTGTCTGCTCTGAAAGAACTGTAAATACACTGTGAAAGAAGAGTAAATCCCCTGTGCAGTGGAGCAGAGTGAGTTGTCTCCAGCAGCCCTGCTGTGAACAGAGTGTGTCCTGTGCTCGCTGCTGTACAGCCAGGAGAGGTGTGGCACCTCCAGAACCAGAAAAACCCACAGTCCTGAGGCTCTGATGTGGCAGGGAGCCCCAGGAGCATCCTCTTGGCTCTGGAGAGCAGGAGGAAGGGCTTGGCTCTCACCCAGCTGGTTTGAGACCAGAGGCAGCATCAGTGGCAGGCTGGGAATCTGCAGCTGGTCCTGGGTGCAGAAAGGTGCTTTTGGAGCAGCAGATGGGATTTGCTGTTTCATGCAGGGAGCGGGAGCCAAGCAGAAATCATTCCTAATTAATTTTTGCCAGCATCAGCAGTTGTGACTGAGGATAGTAAAAAGAAGTATTGTTTTGTTGCTTACAATGTTGTGTAATTTGGAAAGTGTTGCTGGTTTTGCCTCCAGTGTTTTCTTTTGCTGGTCAGCTTCCTTGGTTTCTGAAATAGCCCACAAAGCAGAATAATTGTGACTATGGGTACAGTTCTGAGTCAGCTGTACTTCCAAGCTGTCATTAAACTTCTTGAGGGCCCTCAGTTGAAGCTGCTTTTTTTACAATTCTGTGGAAAATACTTCTAATTTGACCCATTATTTAGGAAAAAATTTGGTAGCAGGCCCAAGCACCTGCATATGACATAAATATATAAGATTAGTCTCTGAATATTTCATATTTCTGAAAGTTTTGGTGCTGTTCTTGTTTTTAGTGTAGCAGCAATGCAGCTGTGTGTGTCTGACAGGAAAAGGTAGAGCATTCAAGTACTTCTCCAGAGGGTTTAAAATTGAATGCACTGAAAAACTTCTTGTGAGTCAAAAAAGTCAAGTAAAACTGCTTTAAATCTTGCCCAGCAAGTGGTTCTGCTTAGTCTAGGACAGCAAAGAGTGTCCCAGATTCTGTGCAAAGGGCAGTCAGCAGGATGATTAACCCAGACAATCATGACTTGATTTGTCAGAAGCATTTAGTGCGGATATTGCACTTCACAGTCCTGACTGCTGCTGAAATGATTGCACAGCTAATACCAGTGTTTTATTAATGGTGATTCTAAAGCAGCACAACCTTTGGGTTCATCTCATTCAGTTCTGCTAAGGAGTGTCACAAAGTCGAGTAATTTTGGTCATGGTTATTCCATGTTGAAACAAAATCTAATAGTTTCAATCTCCCCTGTTTCTGTTCTCCTTAATTGCACTTGCAGGCTGTTTAAATTTGCAGTAGAAATAAAAAGAAATATGTATTTTGATACAATGTTTTGGTGATGAGTTGTGTTAAAAATTTGTTCCGTTCCTGAAGTATTAATTGTTACTCCTGGCATTGCTAAATTGTATACTGAATAAATTAACCACTCAGTGGAAAAAGGTTATATAACAGGAGGGCTGGATTTTGTTCTGAGCTTTGTCAGTGTAGGAAATGGGGAAGTGAGTCTGAAATTTTATTTTCCAAGCAGAAAGTTAAAAGAAGTTGCTAGTGTTCAGTTTTTTTATTTGAAGAGATTTTAATTTCTTGACTTCTAAGAATTTATATGTGAAGCTGTTGAATTCTCTAATGTGAGAAACCTGAGAGTTTTTCAGTGTTCTGCCCGTGCCCAAATTTAAGATACAACATCTGAAATTCCTCTCCCCAGCAATTTCAAACAGTTGTCCAGAGAAACGGAATACATGACAATTAATGGGACAACAATGAAAAATCTTGAAATTTTACAGAATCAGGTAAGAACAAATGTAGCATTTTTTTAATAAATACTGAGGTGTTCATGGCTGTCTGACTTATTTTCCTATTGAAGTTCATCAGATTTGCAAATCTGATCCATTAGTCTTAAATTATTTTAAATGGGATCAGACTGAAGGGAGATAACATTTTCAGAAGCATAAATGAAGTTAATCTGTACTAGCTTTTAATATGAGTTAGGAACCTTGCTGCACTTTGACTAAAAAAGAACTTTCCTGGAGTTTAATTTCTTCAGCAACTGCAGTTGAGTGATGTCTGCAGTAGGGTTTGTTTTTGTGCTCCTGCTCAGAGCTTTATGCACACTCTTATTTTAACTGCTTAATTTGTCCTGATCATTTCCTAGAAACCATTTTCTAGCCAAAGGAAAAACATACTTAAGCATTGTACCACTCCTGGAGGTTCTTCATGTAAGGCATTGTTGATTAATGAAATTGATAATGAATGTACAGTTGCCATATCTTAAAGCCCAAACACAATGTTTTGAATAATATGAAGATCCTCCCACTGCAAAACTGACAGACCAGGTAAAAATAATGAAGTTACCTTCGTTATTTCAGACTGACATGAAGACAAAAGGAAGCCTGCTCTGGGTGCTGGATCATACCAAAACTTCGTTTGGCCGTCGAAGGTTGAAGAAATGGGTGACCCAGCCCCTCCTGAAACTGAGGTGAGCTGGTTCCTCATCCTGGCTAAACCTCTCTTTCCCAGTTGTGATAATGAGTATGCCCAATGAATTTGTCTGTCCAGGGGACCTGAGATCCACGGCAGAATCTGCACAGCAAATGACACAATACAAGTGGTGGGTGTTATATTTAGGTTTGCAGGAGTTAAACTCTTGGGCTCAGATAAATAGTACTGGGTTTGGACCAAGTTAGAAATTCCTCTGCAGAAATCAGAGTGGGCACCATTCTAATTCTGCAGCCCTTTTCAGACAATGAATGAGGATGACCTGGGACTGGAGGTTGTTTTGTTCCTAAACTTGCAATTCATGTTGGATGCCTTCCTTGCTTCACAAGTATTTACATCTCTGATGTGTTTAATTTCTTCTAAAGTAGCTGTGGATGCTTTTGTTATCCCTCTATACAGTGTATTGCACAGGAGAGGGTAACCTTTTACTAATCCTGAAAGCTGATGATTATTTGGCCACTCCAGTATTTTGACCTTGCCTGATTTATCAGTGCTTTAGAAATGTTGTGGTTTTTTAGCCGTATTTTGCTGGTTTTCACTTGTCGCCGTTTTGAAATGGACTCCAGCTTTTCTGATTTCTCTTGGCAGACTCGATTTGAGTGTTGTGGTTGAATGTGTGGTACACAGCAGTGCTGAGTGCATGGGCTGCATTTGCACCCCCACAGTTTGAGTTTTTGGATCCATTCATTCGAATATGTGTTTCCTGACCATTGTCAGTGTAGAGTTCATTGAAGTTGTCACTTTGTTCCCTGCACTTGTAGCATACAGGAGATCTTTTGACTTGGTTATCCACAGTATTTTTCCCCTCTGTTTTTCTGTTGAACATAAATTAAGCAGTTTTAATGTCCATTACTTTTTGACAGGTTTAAATAGTGAGGTATACCAGTGTTTTAGCATCTTGCTGTTGCTGGTAATTTACAACTGTTTCTTCAGAACCATTTTTTCTTTCCTTGCCAAAATCTAGTATGTCAAAGCACTGTACTTCTGTGGCATCACTGCTTAATTTTCTTACTGGCCTTTTTCTAATAAGTTACTTTCAGTGGCCCTTTTAAAAAAAAAAATTCTTCTGACAATAGCTTTTGTGTATCTTTCCTACTTCCAGAGGCTTTTGATGTAACCATCCTAAACAGCATGTGAGTTAACCAGGGCATCGTGTCACGAAAAGCATTTAGGTAGAATTCCAGGGCCTCTTTGCAGGGATAAATGTAAATAAATCAGTTTATTCCCCTCCCTGCCCTGGAGATGAGCCAGGTGTGTGTGTGCAGCTGTCAGCGGAGGGAGCCAGAGCACTGAGGATGGCCCTGGGCAGGACTGGCTGGGCTGCTCCCGGGGCTGGCCACGCCGAGTGACCGCACCGAGTGACCGCACCGAGTGACCGCACCCGTGGGGCAGCAGCTCAGGGGAATTTCCACAGGGAAACAGAACTCCTCCTGCTACCCAGCACAGCAGGCAGAAGCTGCTTCCCCAGCACTCCAGGCCCTCTTTGTTATATACCAATGTATTTAGTTTAAATTCTCCCTTGTCTCAGTGCAGAGCCAGCCTCGCGGGTTCGTGGTTTTGTTTCCTTGTCTTACCCCTCTGCTCCTTCCTGCTTCTGGAGAGTGGTGCTTGGCATTTTCAGGCTGCTCTGGCTGGAGGTGATGGTGCTCCTCAGCACTACTTGAAGCTTAAAAAGCTGTTTTGCTCTGTGTGCTTCTCCCTTTCTGAGTCTCAAGTTGTAATTTTACATAGTTAGTGCATCAGGCATCTGGCAATATTGTTCCCAGTAATGCACACAAATGCACTCAGAGAACATTCTGTAATTGCAATTCACCTGTGCCTCCTGGAGTGACATTCTCAGAGGAAGTAAGGCTCCTGTACTGCATCTTTTCCAGTCAGTGAGTAGGTGTATCAAGAAGTGAGAGGGTGTAATTACTGCTTTGTGCCTTAGAGTTGAAAATCACTTGGGATGATGACTAAATTTCCTGTGAAGAAACCATACATTAGGGTGAATAAAGATGGAATGTGTACAGACTCATTTGGGCAAACTTGAAGACACTCTTTAAATCACCAGTGATGCAATACATGTAGAGACAAGATGTGTACATTTGGGAAAAAAAGAAATGGCAGAAAAAAGTTTAACCAAGAGGTGTGTAGTGTCCTGAGTTACTCACCTGGGTACACAGAGATAATGAGATAAGAGTCTATCAGTCTCTAGCAACTGAGCTTTTTAGGAGGAGTGAGGAAGGTTGTTTCTCTGCAGATGTTTTTAGGTATTTGTGGGTTATAGAAGTGTTATCTTACCTCTGAAATCCGAGTTCCATTGAATGCCTTTCTCACCTGGTGTCTGCAAGTGGAAGAGAAGGAGAAGGTGGCCTGGAGCATTTGTGGGTGAGGGAAGGTTGCTGTCCCCACGCAGGCAACAGGTTCCAGCAGGAAAGGGACCAGAGCAGCCAGGGGGCTCAGGGCAGCTCTCAGCAGCCAGGGCTGTGTGCACTGCTGGAATCTGGAATGCAGGGAACTCTCAGAACTTTGGGCCTGGAAGCCAAAGCTTAGAATTGAACACAGAATTTGATCTGAGACCTTGGGAAAGGCTCCCAAACTCAGGTGCTAGAAGTTGGAATGTGGATTTAGAGTTTAAAGCAGGCACACAGTAAGCTAAGTAAAGGAAAGTTTAGAGTTTTAGAGTTTAAGATACAGTAAAAATAAAAGTAGTTACAGAGGTAAACAGGGAGATTAGAATGCAGCACTGTAGGTTTGTGTATCATAACATGATTGGCTAAGAAAGCTTGCACTGTAGCAAGCTAAGGCAAAATATTTAAGGATTGGGTCAAAAGCATAAATATCCTTGTTGGCAGTGTTTCATTGGTCAATAAATCCTTAAAAAGTCTTGTAACTGAGGGTCTTGTGACCTTTTAAGCCATATGGTGAAGATGTGAGCTGAACTCACCCTTCCTGCCCATGTAAAAGATAAGAAAAGTAAACCACATCATCATAAACAATTCAAAGATCTCATCTCGAATTCCTTCCAAAATTCCCCACAAGTGAATTATCACAGTGCAACAGTTACAAATAATTTATTTCCTAATGGGAAATAAGTGGGAAATTTCAGAATCCTTGAGGCTGATGTCGAAGTCACTGCTTCTTCAGTACCTACAAGAGGATGAGAAAGATAAAGGTCACATAGGCCTGGCTGAGCAAAGCTGGCTCTGGTTTTAATGTTTATTTTGGCTCTTGTTTTGTTGTTTGTTTTGGATGTTGTCCTGTATAGGCACTGCCCTGCACATGACCAGTCTGAAACCTGACCTCTGCAGATTGTGTCCTTCCCTGTCTCTGCACTGTCCATGGTTACTCACTGCCTCCCTCCTTCCCTCCCAGCCTCTTCTTTGCCTTTCCCTTCCCCAGGTGTCAGGAGTGCTGGGTGCCCATCTGCAGTACAACAGACACATAAACACTGCATCCTTTCCCTGGCTGGGCAGTAATTTGTGTCTGTGCCTTGCTCAGCTGTTGATTCTTGCACAGTTCCTAGGAATTCTGTTTTCTGGATGTATCAAACACACAGCCTTGTCAGGGTTGGCTGGAGTTGTGCAAGGAGTTCCAAACTGGAGAAGTGATTCCTGCTGCCAGGGAGCAGGGAGAGACCTTGCTGTGGAACTGGGGAGAGCCTGGCTGCTGTTGGCCTCTGCTGCAAAAGTGCCTCCTTGGAATTAGAACAGTTTCTAATGCAACATTTTAAAAGCTTAGGGATGTGTGTGAGATAAACTGGAAGGGTGTGAGATGTGAACATGCCAGTTTGCACAGTAATCTCTCTCTTTGGGGTGTTCTCTACAGGTGTTGGGCTGTTTTCATGTTTGAAGAAGTTTAAGCAGACTGAGTGACCCACAAGTGCTGGATTGTAATTCTTTAATATTCTTTTGTCTCTGTTGGGTTTTTGGTGTTACATGTGATGTGCCTTCATTCATTTGTAGCCAAGATAACCTGATCTTTTTTTAGTTAAAGCTGATGTTTCAATCTCAAGAAGGGAGAAAATTGTATCTGTTTAGACAGTTGCCAAAAACTTGTCAACCTTTGCCTTGTGCTTCAGAGAAACCAAAAATTTAATTAGCTCTCAAAGACTGGATTTCCATTTATCCCTGTGATTCTAATATACTTTGTCTCCTGTTTCTTCCAGTTCTGGATGAGATGATGCTTTTATAATATTAAAGCCTTGTAGGATGGTATTGATAATTGCTGTTAGTCTGAATATGCTTTGTCCACAGGAGCTCAGAAGGACTGGCAATGTAGCAAGTGCAGAACTGCACAGTTCAGGACTACAGACAGTTCCTTATCTACTCCTGAAGAAAAAGAAGTGTAAATTTGCATTACTAATGCAACATGTACTAATGCTTGGAGGATATATACTGTAGAACTGGGAAGAGGAGGGTCCCTTTACAGTGAGATTGGCAATGACATGTCTTTTGTAATATGAAATAATGTCTTGCTCTACATTTCCTCACTTTGAATGTATTGAATGCTGCTTTATTTATACTTCTATATACAAAGTATAATTCTAAAAGAAAGTCAAGTTTGACTTTGTCCTTGTTCTTTGTAATTAAAATATCAGGGCAGTAAAGCAAACTGTCTAAATGTCCTTGTCCCATCTTATTTTGGAGTTAAACTGGTTCCCATTTGATAGCATCTTCATCCAGATCAGGATTAGAAGATTTTTTTTTTTTTCCCCAGCAGTTATTTGTGAATAAAATCCACTGATCCTACGGCAGGGCTAAATTTTCCTCCTAGAATAACAATTTTATAGAATCAGTGCCAGTATAAAATGCACAAATGCAGGTTACAGCATATGCCTGAGATCTCAAAATTGTTGTGGGAAAGAAAAAGATTGCAGCATCATCACATGTATTGATTCATTTTTGCTTAGCTGTGTTTTGGTCCCTTTGCTGTGTCTAATTCCTTATAAATGGAGCAATCAGGCATCCATTCATGTTGGCTAAAGTAGCTAATTGT